TGATGGTTGACTTTTGAACTTTTTCTTGGTGGGCAGTTGAGGATGTTTCCATTCCATACGCTACCATTTACTCTCAGGCTCACAGTAATGAATCCCTGTCTCATCACCAGTAATGATTTTTTAAGAGACTTCTATCTTCCTTCCAGTATCAGTCCAAATTTTGTTTGCAGATGTCTAAACACTTCTGTTTAAGCTCCTCCGTGAGTTTTTTCAGTACCCACCTTGCACAGACTTTTCAAAACCCAAGTCTGTCATGGATTATTTCATAAACAGAGCCATGGCTGATTTGCAAATGATTTGCCACATAATCCACTATCTCAATGCTGTGGACGTTGACAGGCATTTTAATATAACTGGAGTGCAGGTAATTTTTTACTTGCCCTGGAACATGATAACTCCCCATTATCCAAAAGACTTTTTTTTTCTTAAGTTTCATAAGGTTTTAACATCTCAGTATCTTTCAACCATTTTCCCAATGTTCACTATTGTTAAAATACAGCTTCAATAGATTGCTTTAATTATTGTTGTTTTTTGGAAAGATGCTATCAAGCAAGTTCCAACTCATAGCAACCCTCTATATAAAGTTTCCAAGGAGTGGCTGGTAGGTTTGATGCAATGACCTTGTGCTTAACAGTCCAGTGCTTATCCTACAGCACCACAACAGGACTCCTTTACTTATGTTACTGTTTGTTGTTGTTGTTAAGTGCTATCAAATAGGCTCCTACCCACAGCGACCCTATATAGTGTTTCCCAGCAGCAGATGGTGAGTTTGAACTGCCTACCTACAGGTTCAAAGCAACCTTGTAGTCCAGCACATTAACCCACAGCACCACACTGGGCAGGATTCCTGCTGTTGAGTGCCTTCAAGGCAGTTCCCACTCATAGAGACCCTAGGTTTCTGAGGAGCTGCTGGTAGGTTTGAACTGTTGACCTTTTGGTTAGCAGTTCAGTGTTTAACCTATAGCGCAACACCAGAACTTAAAAGACATAATTTATTCATCCAAGAAATACTCACTGAGTAACTATGGACCAGGCACAGGAATTTACATGATAGAGCAATGAATAAGACAGACTGAGCCAGGGGCTTCATGAGCAATGTTTTTTTTTCTCCTTTTCCCATTTGTCCTACATCTAAGAATGTCATCCTTACTTCTAAGTCAAGCACATCTACTTTAAATCTTTTCAAATCCCTACTCAAGACATCTGAACTATTGAAAGTCTGGTGTGGCACTGTGGGTTAATGCGCCAGACTGCAAAGCCATTTGTATTGCAAGGTTGGTGGTTCAAGCTCACCAGCTGCTCCTCGGAAATTCTATACAGGGTCCTTATGGGTCAGAACGACTCGACAGCACATAACAACAACCATTGTATCCTCTCAATACGATTATACACTCCCTAAAAGTGAAGGCCATATTCAAGTTTCTACTATAACCCATCATTGTCTAGCATGTTGTTTTGGTTTTGCTTTGTAACTGCTGTCATAGTTATCTAGTGCTGTTATAACAGAAATAATACAAGTGAATGGCTTTAACAACCAGAAATGTCTTCTCTCACAGTTAACGAAGCCAGAAGTCAAAATTCAGAGTGCCAGCTCTAGGGGGCGGCTTTCTCTTTGTCAGCTGTGAGGGAAAAATCCTTGTTTCCTTTCAGCATCTGCAGGCTCAGCAGACCCTGGAAATCTCCATACATCTTGGTATCAATCTTCCCCTAGATCTAAGTAAGAGCTTCACATTATAGAGACCCCAGTCCAAAAGATGCACTCCACTCCTGGCTCTTCTATCGTACTAGTAGTAGGTCCCTCTGAGCTCAGTTCACCTCTCTCTCCCTCCACATCTCAAAAGAAATTGGCT